TGCAGTGCTTCCAGCAGCTTCCTGCAGCTTCGGTGTTCCCTGGCTTGCTCTTCCACACCTTGCTGAGTTTTCACTTTGCAGTTTTCTGCCCTCACTTCGTGTCCTGTTTTCACCTTCCGGAGCACCCGGCAGCGCTGTGCTGGTCTCGTCCCTGTGGGTTTGGAAGGGCAGGTGGGCTGTGTGTGCAGAGCCTGTCTTAGCCCTGGGCCAGGGTGGTGCCAGGCGTGCTCCGTTCCCACGGGGATGGAGCGCTCGCTGTCCCTCTGCTTGCGCCGCACTCTGTGCTTTGGGGGCTGCGTTCTTCCTGCCAGCTCTCCAGGTAGGCTCAAACAGTTCATGGTGTAAAAGTGAAAATATCTGTGGCTGGTAGGCTCTGAGCAAACAACTTCCCTGACCTTAGCCAATACTTTGGGACTTCTGGGAAATGTTTTGTAGTGTTGAGAACGTCTGTAGTATTGGAAACTGAATAACGTGGTCTCTTTTTGCTAGGCCTCACTGACAGCATCCTCCACTCCTTGGGTTCATTGCTCTTGAATTTGATGATGTGGTTTTAGTGAAAACAAGGGATGAAGGAATTGATGACAGGTCTCAACCAAAGGAGTTGTTGGTGGTGAGCCATAGTCTCATGGTTCTGGTGCACTTGTCAGACTGAGCAGCATGGTGAGAATCAGGCGTGAACACGAGGAGCAGCAGGGGAGCACTGAGGTGACTGCACTGTTTGAGCACTCCCTAGGGTTGCTGTTAGCATAGGTACTTGTATGCACCTCCTGAGCGTAACCAGATTCTCCTCTGTTAGCAGGGTGCTTTTTTTTTGGGAAAGAGGAGCTGGTTTAGAGAAAGGAACAGCTGGCTGTCACAGCCCTCAGCCAGCACATGGCTTGTGCTAGGGAGAATTGGACTATCAACTCTTGGCCAAAACGCAGTTGCTGTTTTACCCAACTGGTGTTCCAACTGAATTCAGTTATACAATGCCAAGAACTTTCTGCTCCGTGCAAAGGACAGAGGAACTTGGGAGCAGCACATTGCTGGTGGGGAGAACCGGGCTGCTGATGCACAGCAGCAGTTTTAGCTCTATTTGTGTTTGTTACGGGTTTAAACTGTTTGTAGAGCTTCTCATAGTAACAAAGTATTTGTCACAAATATTCCAAGACACTAAGGCTAGATTCAGTAACTTCCTGGAGGGAGATTGTTTTGTTGCTCGTTCTTGACACTGCCACCATTCCTGTGATTCCCTCCTCATCCTGTTTGGTGTTTCCTTATTCCTCGTGTATTCTCCACAGGGAGCAGTCATGGCTCTCTACATACACTGGTTTGTGTGTCAGCTTCTTGCTCCTGTTGTGCGTATTTTACCTTTGCCTGAACTATTGGCTCTTTCCTCGCATCCTCCCCTCAGCCCCAGGCTGCATCCTGTGCTGGAGGACCTGGAATGTCTTTGCTCGGCCGGTGTCTGACCGAGTGCTGGCATCCAGTGGGGCCCTGCTGAGACAGCAGCACTGCAGAGCTGGACTTGGTTATCTTCTCTTAGCCACCCTCGATTGATATTTAGAAACTTCCTTTTGTTGCCAACAAACTGCAGTTGTCCAGATATTTATGTCAAACAGACCAAAATTTGTTGGATTTGCTTCTGTTGCTGCTTGTTTGCTGATGGAAAGTGCCAGGGACAGAGTTGAACCATGAGAAATCACATGGCAATTCCGCAGATGTTTGGATCCAGGGTAATCCTTTGCATGCAGTTCTTCCAGGTGGACTCGCTGGTTTTGTCTGTGTCCAGAGGTCAGGGAGTGGCCGTGTTGGGGCGTGTGGTGCCGCCCGCGCGCTGTGTGGACGCAGTGGTCGGTCAGCTGGGCAGCTCCAGCTGGCGATGGCATTGGGATCTCAGTGTTTGTTTTGTCCAAAAGAACCCGTTTGTAATGTTGAAACACCTCTTCCCTATCCTGGAGGTAGTTAAGAAGATGGCCACCCTAACTTATTACTCCATAATAATGGGTTTATAAAACTTGTGTTTGTGAGTTTATAGCTTACTTGTGATATTTATTCCCAGTGTAGACCTGTCTGTAGATCAGCAGTTGATCAACGCCCATTTGGCCATTTCTGTATTCTCCAATTGCACGTTATATTGACAAACTGTGGTAGTTAAAGGGGCTGCGGGTCTGAATTCAGCTCCTGGATCACCCAAGATTTAGGAATCAGTTAAAGAAAAAAAGGGGGGGGGGATTGTTTGGAGAGCGGGGGTAGAGCACAGACTCTGTGTGATTTGCTGTTGTGCACTTTAAAGTTTTATGGCCCGTGGTGCATCCCTTGGGAGGATAAAGTGCAAGGAGCGTGAAGAAACCCATAAAATGACGAAGGGTTTATGTGGTGTAATTAATATAGAACTTTCCATGAACTTTATAATACCTGTACTTTCTTAATTCTACACGAGTTTCTGGTTTGCTAATAAGTAATCTCGAAGATTGCTAATGGAGTTTGAATTTTGGATTTTCCCCCTGAATTATAGCAGGACACACTGTAGTCTGTGGTTCCTTGTTGGAGTTCTCGGCTGTGGCTGTGCCTGCCTTGGGAACCATTTTTGAGCCGTGGCCAGCTCTGCACTAAACCTCTGTGTGGACAGAGCTTCCTCGTGCCAGTGCAGTCTGGCTGCTGAGGCACTTGGGATTGACTCTGGACGGGGCTGCAGGCCCTGGCATCAGGAGTCGCACCCGTGGCAAAGGGAATCCAAGGAAGACGGTTCAAGTACAAATCTGGATTTGCGCAGCAAAACCAAATTAGCACTGTGAGGTTGCAGCTCCTGTTTTTGGCTCCCGAGGACATTTTAGTTCGAGAGAAATGGAAGAGTTTGCCTGTGGGTGTGCTGGCTGCGCCGCCAGGCGCGTGGGGATTCCTCTGCCTTCGCCGGGGCCCCCGTTGTGATGGTGCCTCTTCCGGAGCAGGAATTGCAGATCTGATTCAGGCCAAGTGACAGCATGGGGGTTTTTGCCACCCCTCCCCAGAGACGCCCGCGTCTCGGCGGTAGGCTTGCGGTGGTGTTTGTGAGGAAGAGGTGGTTCCTGCAGGGAGTGGGAGCTCTGGGGGACAGCTGTGGCTGGGGGTCAGACAGCGAGCGCTTGATGAAGGAGCCTGAGCCATGGGGAGGTCCAGGGAGTCTGAGGGCCACCGGTACCTGCTGTGCCACTGGGAGGGCAATCCTGTTCTGTGCCTGGCGTCCCACAGGCGTCGCCCACGTGGGAATGCTCCGTGGGTGATTCTAGTGGGCACAGAGGCGTGTTTGAAAGCAACTGCGTGTGCATCATTTGGGGCAATGGGCTCCATACCCTCAGAGCTGACTGCCTGACTTTGTCCTTTTCCAAGGTCAAACCTGGTTTAGAGGTCACTGGATTTAGGATTCTTGTCCCGTAACATGATTGTTGTGTGTTCTGACCACGCGGCTCGAGGAGTCTGTAATGAAAAGCCTGTTGGATTGAGGCAGTTGCTGTTTTCCACACTGGGAGTTTTTTGGAATGAAGAAGTGTCATTGCTAAGTGCAGAAGAGGGAAGCATCTGTGAGATGTAGTTGCATTACAGGATGATGAGAATGACCTTCCATTGCTGTAATGACACAAGGTGGGAGATGCTGAAAACAGGAGTTGGAAGGTTTAGCGTCAGCAAGTTCCGACAACTTATACCAAAACATTTTAAAGGGATCTATTATCCATAGGCACTTTCTGGATTAATAATACTGATAATTGATGACAGTGGAAGAAAGTTAATAAAAAGAGCTGAATAATTAGAGGTCTGCCAGCCCTGCAAAATAATGGAATGAATGATGGAGGACTTGACTGATACGGAGGTGAGGGGAAGTAATACAATTAATGTCAATTAAAATGTGCCCATGGAAAATAAGCTGATGAGATGTAACTGGGATGTAGTTTGGCTGATAAAAGCAATAATGTGTGCTGTAAAATACTTTGCGCCTTAATGAATTGAACGCGGAGCGATGCAGTGTTCTCAACGAGCTGTGGAAGGCGTGTAAATGAAACGGGGAGTGGGGAGTGGGTACCGGCTGCGTCGTGTCCGGGAACGCAGTGGGAATGGCAGGGCTGCTGGCACGGTGGGGGCAACCTGTGTCTCTGTGGACAGCCCCGGGTGTCACCACGTGCATGTCTGCAAGGCTCTGAGCAGCCAGGGCAGGAGCTGTGCTGGCAGTCACCGTGCAGAGTGTTGTCTGGAAAGGAGGTGGCCAAGAAGCCCAGCAGGGTAACAGCCGTGTCCAGCTGGAAGCCCCAGAATGTCATACAGAGCGGGAACAGGGGACACCCTCACCCTGTGCAGCCGGACGTGGTCGGTGCAGCAGAGACCGATCCTGCCCGACTGCTCCGTGCCCAGCCCTGTGGATTTAGCCCAGCCCAGTCGCTCGGGAAAGTTCCCAATAGCTCAGGGAGCTCACTGGACTCGTAAATTACAGAGCAGCTCACGTTTATCATACACATCGCTGCTTATCTTGTAAACTCATCTGCTGGGCTTGCACGAGCAGTTGATTTAACAGCATGTATATTGTTGAACTTGACACATCCAAGAGTCTAATCAAGCTTTAAGAATACCAGGGATGTCTGGCTGCTGGTGTGAGGTCTCCGTGATTCCTAAATCATTTCCAGGCGCGATCGTGGGCCAGGCTCCGCCGGGTTCGCTGCGGGTCGCATGGAATGTCCGTGTCGTACGGAATTGCAGAGGAGTTTTATCATGGTGCTGGCATCTGTTTAATGACATAAAATGATTAGATGTGTAAAAGGAAGAAGTTAATATCCTTTTTCCGTACACTTCCAAATGGGAAATGACTATAAATTAATTTTGTAGGGTAGAACGCCAGTGCCTAAGCGTGCTGCCTGTGTGGTGCTGCCCAGTACCTGTCACGGGAGGCGAGGGTGGTGCAGGAGGGCAGAGGTGGTGGGCTTGAGGGAGAACGGGCAAAGCTCTGCACTGTGGCTGGTCCCTCTTACCCTGCTGCTCCAGGTCCTTTCCTGCAGGACTGATTTGGTCGATCGACACTCCGTTTGTGGACGCTCTGATTCTTTCGGTGGTGATGGAGAGACCGCCGAGGCGCCGCTGCTTGCGACCGCTGCAGGCTGGTGTGGGGTTGCAGGGCTTTTTGGGGCTCGTGTTTTTAGGGGGAGTTGATGCACCTTCTACATATTTGGCAACAAGAACGCATAATTTTGTATCCTTCAGTATTTCTGCTTTTGAGACCCCCCAGGTATGGTGAGGTAGGAAGATTTCCATCCCTCTTCCTTACTCTCATGTTGAGGAGGAACTGCTTTCACTTTGAGCTGTGCATGGCAAGGGAAGTAACCTGGGTCTAATCAGGTGCAGTGCGTTTTAGTTTTGAATGAACTAACGGACCTTGAGTTGCATTTCTGCTGCAGCTTGACAAAACTACAGCAGGTGCTGGGGCTCTGTGCTTATTTACTTGCAAATCCTGTCAAGTGTGAACTTCATTTATGACTTCCCTAGCAGGTCGTGCTGCCGTGGTCACAGCTTCTGCAGCGTTTTGTCGCTGTTGCTTGTAAAATTTGTCACTGAGGGAAATAATGAGCCAAAATAGGCACAGGTGAGCACATGGAGACTCCGCGTGTCCAGATCCGTCAGGGCTCTTCTCAGACTTTGCAACCACAAAGATTTGAGCTGTGTTTGTATTTCGAAAATAAAGTTGCAATTTCACCAGAAAACTTTTATTTGTCTTATTGCCGTGGGAAGTTGCTGCTCTTGGTCAGGGGAACTGGTGGGTTTCCAGGTCTTGCCGTCGCTCGGGGCTCCTGGTGGAAACTACCCCTTCTCCCATGTGTACATCACGTGTCTCCTCTCCTTTCTAGATGATCATGGGAACAGCAATGGCAGTCATGTAAAAATCTTTTTACCGAAGAAGCTGCTTGAATGTCTACCAAAATGTTCAAGTTTACCGAAAGAGAGGCACCGCTGGAACACTAACGAGGTAGTTAAATCACTTACTTGTTCTTAAATGTACTAGCTGACTTGATGCCTATGGAGTGTTTTGTTAGAGCATGCCATGTGAGTTACAGGATGTGAATTCCCTGGCTCTGGAACTCGTTCTGTACATCATGAAGTCCTAGTACATGCTCAGTGAGCTTCAGGCTAGACTGGAAAGCAAATGTGGAAGCTGACTGCTCGTACAGTAGGAACTGCTGCTCGTGTGTGTGTGCGACTTGTCTCAGAGTCAGATCTTGTATCATCTTAATGACCTGTTTCAAAATGGTTTAAAATTAGATAGGTGTGTTTGCACCTTGCTGAACAATGTGTTACCTCCTTCTGTATGAAGACTTTCAAACAAAAATGTGGTGTGTTTTCTTTCCTGCCGAACAGGGTCCTGGGAAATAACCAGCTAACCTTGCTAAGAGCAAGGGGCATGCGGAGCTGGGCGTTCTATACTGGCATTTTATGCTCAGTTGCCCTGAGCATGCTGGTTCACAGGCCTCCTGTTAATGCAGCATTAATTGTCATTTAAATGAAACAGAAGTATTTAAAACTCTGGTGTCTGTGGGCCAAGGCGAAGTTAAAGACCAATCC